CCCCCCCCCCCCCCGCTTTGTACATAGATGTTAAAAAGGTGCTGGGTTTGCATCCGCCAGTTTGGAGCCAGGGATCGCTGCCGCAGACTGCCCCCGAGTAGATATGCTTTGGACTGGATTTTAAAAATATTTTTTCTTTGGTTCCACTCCCTTTGCAAATGGAAGGGAAGTGAAGGAACACGTGCAACTACTGTACTCGTTTGGAGCTGGGTTAAATTATACTTGTCAGCTGGGAAAACTAACAATTTAGTCGAGTTCGGAGAGGTGGGTTTACAGCCATGTCTCCTGTCCCTTGGAAGTAAACATCCTTCTACACAAATTCAAGCCCTGCCCCGCGGAGCATTGCTTCTAGATGTGAATTAAGCATATTCCACACACAGTTGTTAAATGTAAATGACTTTGTCTGGGCTTGGAAGCTAAGCAGAAAGTGGATGGTTGATAGTTGGATGGGAGATCTGCAGGGATTATCCAGGCTCTAGGGTATGCTAGGAGGTTAAAAAACACATCCTGGAAGAAATGTGCATTTTCAAACCACACCGTACTGCTTCCATTTCCATGAAGTCACCCAGAGGTGGGGTGACCAGATATGTGCAAAGAGCACAGGGACAAGTGGAAAGGAGGCCAAACGGGGGAAAAGGAGGACACACTAATTGTTCTAACTTTCTTGGCATCCGTGACAAAACATACAGTGAAAAACTAAAAAAAAGTACTTAGGCCTATATGAAATTCCTTTTTCCAGCATCAGAAAGACTGGTTTTGCAATCTCAGGAACAGGCTGGAATAGTTAGGAGGTGAATGCTTTCAGGTGCTACTGATTAAAATTGTGTCAATTTCAGGCAGCGGCATAATTAACTAATTTAATTAGCTGGATGCATAATAGTAATAGTATAAATCATAATATACAGGTAACTGTAAGAGAGTAATGGATAATGCAATAGTGGAAAAAAATGACTCCCACTCAGTTCCTTTGCTTTTCTTCCCATGCACACACATACACCCCATTTCAGATTTGATAATCTGCAAAATGGAAATTAGGGCTAGGGGCTGAAGTGCAACCCACAGCTCCTGCTTGAGCAGCAGGTGTCAGCTGTAGCCAAGGAGACCTCTGCACAAGTCCATCTTGCATGCCAACTGCACCTTTTCTGGACTAGGAGGCCTTCTGGACCACCACTTACTCTTTGGTGGTCTCATGTAATGAGGCTACAGGAATGTGTTCTGCATGAACTGCCCTCGAAGACCACTCAGAAGCTGCAACTGGTCCAAAACACAGTGGCCTGGGCAGTTCAGTTACAGGCATGCCACATTATGCCCATGTAAGATCTCTACTTGGGAGCTGCACTGGCTCCCAGTGGGCTTCTGGGTGCAACTGAAGGTGCTTGTTGCCCCCTTGAAAGCCCTCCGTGGCAGAGGGCCCAGGCACTGCTTCTCTCCCACAGTGTCTGCCCATCCTGTTTGATCTGCCAGAGTCACCACAATCCAAGTTCCATCAATAAAACAATGTTGTCATTTGATGGGACATGGGAAGCATGCATTTTCTGTTGTTCCTCCTACACTCTTAAACAACATTTCCCCGAGATTCTTTCAGCTCCTACTCTGACCTTATTTCAAAAAGCCCTTAAAACCTGTTTTTCCCCCTCCCCAGTCCTTGGCCTAAATGCTGGTGGGATCCTCAACAATATCCTTGCCATGGACTCAGTTCCCATGGTGATGGGTGTATCATTGGAAAACCTGAAGGACTGTTAGGGACAGATCATCATGGAGAAAATCTATATATGTGGTCACTAAGAGTTGACAGTGACTTGATGGGCCATCATCAATCAAACATCTCTCAGAGTCACTTTGAATTGGGTGGCCTTAGAACTTTCATAAATTAAATTTAATCAATTAATCTTTCTTGGTTGGGGAGGCAATGAGAAGCAAGGACTGGAAAGGAAGGAGAGAGGAGAGAGGAAGATGAGGAACAATAGGGAGGGGAAAAAACACCGTGGACCCCCCGGAAGCCAAAGGACGAAAAGGACTGAGATATTAAAGGATGTTACTTGCCCTCTGGTTGTGTTGAGCTACGATACCCACAACCCCTTGAACTGACCTGCTGAGTAGGGATGCTGGGAATGGTAGCTCAAATCATCCAAAGGGCCCCTGCCCCTTCATCGTCCCTGGTGATGCACAATCCTCTATCCCAGGCATTACCCATTTGCAACATACAGTGTTTTTGCAAATTATTTCCCCCACTAGGATGTCTTCACACACTACAAACCTATTTGAATTTACTTAAAAGAAAAAACTAGAGAACTGCATTACCAGAACTAGAAGATTATGAGCTTACTTATAATGAGAATTAGATATGTTCACACTCAGATGCAAATTAAATAATTTCTCCTTTGTCCCGAGTTATGGAATCATATCCAGATTTGTCAGAAGTATATGTGCACATCAAAGGGTAAGATAAGTATTTCCACATAATGCTTTGGCAGATAATCAGAGAGCAGTGATCTATCTTACAGATAGAGAGAAGAAGGATTGTGCACTTCAGTATGAGGTCAGTGCCAAATAATTAAAGGGTTGTAAGTTTTTTTTGCACTGGTATGCAACACTTCATAACTATTATAAGTTGTTGCTAATACCTAATTACCAGTTGAAGTAACATTATTAAAACTACTTAATAATGTTTTTTTATTTTTTAATTATTAAATTTATATGCCACCCATCTCCCCCAGAGGGTGACTCTGGGTGGCTTATTAGTTGCACGTTTCAGTCAGGTCAAGCCCTAGATACTTTAGACAAGATGAAAATATATCAAAAAGGAAACACATATGAACATTGCAAATTCTGCTCTGATTAGAAATTAAGGCATTGACAGAAATGACCAAAAAAGAGAAACTATTGGGTGGCAAATTGACAAAAGCCACAGCTGGAAGCCATGCAGCGGTCCAGAAACAAACTCATGGTCATTTCCATCCTATGCTTACACTTTGTGTCCAACGGATTTAACATAACTGTTTCTTTCCATTTCGCATCAAACGAATGGTTCGCTATGTCAGAGGGAACATCTTTAACCAATGCCATATCATTGGCTAGGTTTCCTGAATATCCCACTTCTGATGACATCACATTTTGGGTAAAAGGCTACAATTGTCATTTGCTTTTTATGGATTTGTTATCAGCAGCTGGACCATACAGAGCAGGAATGGGCAGCCTTTGTGTAGCCAAAAGCCATGTTTAATATTTTGGGTCAGATTACAGCATGAAACGTGCTAGCGGTAGCATCTGCAGACGGGCAGAATGACGAAAGCAGGATCCCACTGTTGTGACGCAAGCGTTATATTTTACATACATACATACATACATACATACATACATACATACATATATATATATAGCTTTATATGGCCTGGCTCTCCAGGGCAGCATCTCACCACTTTCAAGGAAACTTGTGCACCTCCAGACATAGACAAGTCAAGGAAGGATTTCTGAGTGAACTCCTCAAAGCATCTTTTCTGTACACACCCAAGTTCTGGATCTTCTGCTTTCCATAACATCTTGTCTGCAGAGGCATGCTTTATTTATTTATTCAGTTTGTATGCCACCTGACTCCCAGCAACTCTGGGCGGCTCACTAGTAAAACATTTTTTTTTTTTAAAGACAGTAACAAAGTAAAGTACGGAATAAAAGATAGCAAGATGACAGAAGCCAGATTGGAATGGAAAACAAGAAAGACACCCATGCAATCCAAGGGGGCTTCACTCGCCCACTAAAGGCCTGGGCAAAGAGCCAGGTCTTCAAGCTCCTTCAAAACACCAGTGGGGTGGGAGCCTCCTGAATCTAGAGGGAACCTCATTCCAGAGGGCAGATGTTGCTACAGAGAAGGTGAGCTTCCAGGGTCCTGATAGATGACGGTGTTTAATCAAAGCAACCTGGAGCACGCCAACCCCTCAGGATCGAATTGGCTGGGCAGATGCTACGGGACACAGGCAAGAAACCAGATCCTATGCCATGGAGGGCTTTATAGATGGGGACCAGCACTTTGAATTGCACCTAGAAGCAAACTGGCAACCAATGCATCCCCCGAAGCAGAGGTGTTACATGGGCACACCGAGGCATGCCCATCAATACCCACGCCACTGCATTCTGGACCCATTGAAGCTTCTGAGTGATCTTCAAGGGCAGCCCCATGTAGACTGCACTGCAGTAGTCAAGTGTTTGAGTGACTGCCTGACTGTCCACTGGCTTCCAATGGACTTTAAAACTTGCATACTCTCTTGATTACAATAAAGGAATACGTCTGTATAGATCTGTGGGATTTTTAATGGACCAAAAACAACTATGATTGATTTTCACATTTCCATAAACCAGCTCCTGACTCAGCCAAATACAAAGTACCCGGGGCTGGCTTTCCATCTCCTCACAAGAGAAGCTTCCAAGAAAGTATGCAGCAGCCTGCCCTCCAAAGAGGGATACCAGCTCAGTCCTACCAGTACTTGTTGGATAGATAACAAAATGAGGGGCTTCTTCCCTGTTAGAAGAGATGGAGCTCCTTCAAGGAATGACTCTCAGTGAGAAGGAAAGGTCTCCTGATTTTGCTCAGTAGTGCTCTCAAATCTGGAGATAATACCCCCTTTTTCCATGACCTTCCCTCTTGTGGGACCCAGATAAGCTAGCTAGGCTAGCTCCCAGGTTTCCAAATCTAAGGCTTCAGCCTCGCCCCACCCATCTTCTCCACAATAGCTTCCTTGTCAGCTACAGCTGTTCATCCCTAGTTCCCTTTGTGCAGATGCTGCCTGAAATACGGGTCACTCGACAGGGGCTAGTTTAAGTTAGCTGAGATCACTCTCACATCTGACTGCGGCCTCAGACTGTCCCACGGACTAGAGAAAGGAAGGGTAATTAAGCAAAGTCGCATACTACCATGAAGGGCAGAAAAAAACATATCAGACTGAAAAAATGCAAAACTAGAAATAGGGAAGAAATTTGCCCTATTCTTTCAAACGTTATAAGCCACAGTTATAACCCAAACTTTTCACTTTTTCACAGTGCCAAGCACTTCAGTCAGCAAAGAAATGCAGACAGAGATCTATAACTCTTATTTATACATCTTATTTTAGTTGCTGAGGCATCTATGGAAAGGATCAAAAAAGTCAAGGTGGCCACTGCAGTCATGTGATCAAAGCTTCGCCCTTTTTACCTGCATTACAGCTGCCATCTTGACCTTTTTGGACAGCCACCCCTGGAAAAATCACTTGCCAAACCGCATCCATCAAGAAAGTATGTATTAATATTATCTTATCTTATGGAAAACTGCATAAAAATGAGAGCTTGGGGGAAATCAGCTGAACAGGTTTGTCCATCTCTACCCTAAAAACAGGGGGTGTAAACAAATGTCCAGAGGAAAAGGCAAAACCAGGCAGCCTATTTAGATCTGAGATGGAGGAAAGAAGTGGAAGAGAAAGCATGCAATGCTTCCTCTCTTGTCACTTTAATGTTTCACACCCCATATTAGATCATATTAGCAGGTTCTGCAGCTTAGCTGTGGTTTTCAGTCCACTGGGAAATTCTCCTTTGTCTTCCCATAAGTCTCTTACCTTATCTGCATCAACTGATTTATATCTAGGATCCATCGTCATGACGGAACCTGAAGCTTCTGAACCGGTGGAGCTTGATGTCTTCAGACAAGTCTGCAAAACAAAGCGTAGGAGAAGCAATTCAGTGTACAGGTATACTCCCTGGGACCAATTCATTTCATTTTTGTGACTGACAATTTCTGCCTAATTGGACAACAGCTTTCAACACATCCCAGTTTTATACGCTGGGTCACAAACCATAAATGCATATTTGCAAAAAAACAGCCTTGGGGTTTGGAAACTCATTTCTCTCCAGTTTATCCTTTTAAATTCAGTCTTTGTGTCTGTGAAGAAAGGCTGCAGTGCAATTCAAGTGGGTGTCTCAACTGCATCCAGAAGGAAAGCAGTGTACAGATTCAAGAACCTATCAGGTGTATGTGGAATGGTTTGCACTGATCCTCAGTTGATTTCTGGGATTTCTAACAGTAACAGTAGTTTGGCAATGGAAACAGTTACCAGAGAGGTGGTAGCCCTCTTCCACTGGATGTACTGTACTCAACCAGAAGATAGATTTCCATCTGCTGGACAGGATTTAATTTAGATTGCACAGGGGGTTGTGCCTCTTCCAGTTTTGGGATTCTATCAGTCAAGATTTAAAAGTCCTCAGTTATCTACGGCTGCCTATCTGAGGGACCATTTCTCATTACAAAGATGCTCACATGTGAAGTTCTACAGCAGAGGCCCTTCCAAAGAAGCCTTGGAAAGGTCCTTCTCCCATTTTGCTCTCAAACTAGGGAATGCTCTCCCTTAGTAGTTGTGATTTGGTCCCCACTCCTTCTGATTATAGAGGACAGTGGTGTCAAGACACACATTTTTAATCAAGCTGTATTGTTATTGTACTTTATGGCTTATAACCCAATCAATCAACCATTCAATCTTATTATGGCCTTTAACAGCAAATTCTGCTTATATTTGCTGCCTTGTGCTAACCACATTTTCATCATTTTTCCAATGCCAACAGTCTATAGGGACATCCCCACCAAAATTGCCCCATTAACTCTCATTTCTTAAATGGATACTCAGGGCACTGCGCTAGCATTAAGCGCAGAATGCCTTTTTATGACCTCTCAGTTCTCCTTATTGGCTTTACAATGACCAAGTTGGCTTTTCCTTCTCAAAGCAGGAACCCTATTAATGCTCATTTATCAAACCACACACAAAGTTGCTCTCCCTGCAGGGGAAAGGGAGGACTTGGAAACTTGCACAAAATGCATTGTGAGTCAGTGAGTCAGTGAAAAGAAGAGGGTGTCCCTTATGACCCAAACTGGGGACAGATGGCAACTGGGCCCCTTGTCCCAAAGATGGGACCAGCAGTCTGTTACAGAGGGTAGACCAGAGAAGGAGGTTCAAAGGAGGTTGACTGTGGATGCTACCCACAGGTCTTGCTCTTGAAACAATGTAGCCACTGGCATTCTTTGGCCACGGCTTTCTAAGGGGCATCTGCACGATCCAGCCCTTTCACGGTATTAGTGTCATGCCACAAACTCTGTCTCTTTCATCCATGCAACCTCATGATGTAGTACAAAAGGGATGGAGTTTGCGTCTAACGCTGTTTTTCTCATTGGTCTCCCTTTACCTTCCTGTAGACGCGGCTGCTTTCGAGCTACCCTTCGGTAAACAATCCAACGTTCTTGGATGATTAAGACCTTGCTGGATGAGCAACCAGAGAGTGCAACGTGGAGCCAAGGAAATGGTTCAATATTGAACCATTTCCTTGGCTCCAAGTTGCAGTCTTGATTGCAAACCTCCAGAATATTCCCCTAGCCTCCGGAAAGGACGCAGTGCCCACTCAGCAACTGTCATATATATATGAGCAGGAACACTCGCAACCCTTCAAGATCCCCCAGAGAAACTGCAGGGAGAGGGCCAAAAAAGTCAAGAAGGAAAATGGGTACAAAATGTTTTACAGATGGCACACAACTCCATCAATAATATCTAAGACAGACAAATCATATTGTAATAAATGTTGGAAATGCCATGAAACATATGGAATGCTTTACTACATGTGGTGGACATGTAAAATAACCCAAAAGTACTGGAAAGACTTACATAGTACCATGCAGAAAATTTTGGAATTTAAATTGGAAATGAAACCACAATTTTTTTTTTTTACTAGATATAATCTCAGAAAAACATCATCGAAAAACATAATAATTTAGTAAGTTACATGCTTACAGCAGAGGGAATAAATTTTGCTCAACATTGGAAGAAAGATACAATTCTGCATATCTGATTGGGAACTTGGAGAATATGCTGCAATAGCAAAAGTAACTGTGTGTGTGTGCATGCGTGTGTGTGTACACACACACACACACACAAACAATAGAAGTTTAACTAAATTTAAGCAAGAACGCTCCCCATACATACAACACATCACACAGCACAGCAAATATAGTCACCTACAGTTTGGCTTCTAAGGGGGCCTAAATGTGTACAAATATTGCAAATTAGCAGATGTATAAAAAGGGGGGACTTATATATATAAAAATAAAAAGTCCCCCCTTTTATATATATATTAATAGTAAGTAATTACGTAGCTTAAGATGGAAACCATTGAAATATTATCGAAACCTGTATATTATTAGTTTAAGACCAAAACCATTATCGAAATATTATTGAAACCTTTATAACCAATACTTTCATGTGAGTTGCAGCAGTTCTTTTTTTAATGGTTTATTTAACTTTGGATGAAAAAGCCAAATAATTTTATGTTTGTAATATTAATTTTAATATTAATATTACAAACATAAAATTATTTGGCTTTTTCATGTTAATTAATTAACATGATTAATTAATGTTAATTAAATCTTTAATTAATTTAAACTTTTAATTAATTTAATTAATTAAATTAAATTAATATTTAATTAATATTTAATACTAAATACAATTGACATCCTAAATTGTAATTCATATTGATTTCCTCTATTTTCAATACTTCAAGCTATCTGAATAAATCACTGTATTGAAAGAATACCATGTGTCAAGATTTATAACAATAAAAAGGAGATCTTAGAAAAAGACTAAAAGAAGCCAAGATGGCGCCCACCACCTTGCAACCCTACACAGTGACACACGTGAAAAAGGGGCGGGCTTTGACTGCGTGGCTATGGCCACTGTCCTGACTTTTTTCACCCCCCTGGGGACACTCCTGAGGGACTCGGCATATTTGTCCAGGAGAAGGAAACTCTCTCCAGCAACATTCTCTTCGGGATGATAGAAGTACCACAACTGCACAAGTTTCTTCCTAAGGCCTCCCCTCAGGTTTTAGAAGAAGCCATAGACTGCCGGGGAAAGGACGGTAGAATTACAAAGAAGGCGTTCACACGTTCCCCTCAATCAACTCATCATCCCTCAGTGAGTTCAGGAACACCTACGGATTTCTTTGCAAGGAACTCCTCCTTAAGTCTTCTTCAAAGTAAAACTCAGCCTAGGGTGATATTTTCCATGATGAAAAAGCCATAATTTGGTGAACATCCAAAGATTCTCCACGAGGCATACACAAGATAATTCACTTTAAATACATTTCCTGCAATAATATGGAGAACCACAGCAGTGGCCTTGGAAAAAATGTGCAGAAACGGTTACGAAAACAAAATCAAGCATTTAGCCCCCCAAAAAGTGTGAAAGCGTGAGAAAGAAGTCAGGAAATCAGTCTTCCTTGATTCACTGGGAGGGGAAAATACAGGCTTTGAAGATTCAGTTATTATAGCCAATATTAATGAAGCACACCTCCAGCCAAACCCTCCAGGTATCTCTTTCATGACCACCCTACCTCGCAGGGCTGACAAATAGAGAAGGCACATTTCTTGTTCATTTGCCAAGACACATTAGTCTAAATCAGAAGAGCAAGTTTCAGGCTTCCTGGAACAGACATAGTTCAGACAGCATCATTGTCAAAAAGTTGTTCACTAAACTCCCACCAGAAGACAGATAGTCTTAGATTTGATTTGATTATTTGATTTTCAACCTGCCTTTGAATGATCTGGGCCCTGACAGGTAAGACTATTATATCCGGACTATAAAAGAAAAATAGAAAAGGAAGAAAAAAGATACAAAGAAGTGGCTTCTGAACTTCTTTACAGCAGTGATAAGTACAATTATAAATTTATCTCTTTCTCTAAAGTTACAACATGACTCTTTTCTCTCTATAATCTATCCTATATAATCATCACAACCATAGATCAGAAGTTCATTTTCTTCTGTTTTACGCAAAAATCCATAAGGGGTTTCCAGTCAGCAGTAAACGTAGATGTCTTTTCTCTAATCAAAGAAGTCAATTTGGCCATCTCAGCAAGTTCCATCATCTTCACCAACCACTCCTCCATTGTGGGTATTGCCAAATCTTTCCATCTTTGGGCATACAATAATCTAGTTGCAGTTATCATATACAAAAACAAAGTTCCATGGCTTTTTTCCAACTGTTTGTCCATCAGTCCCAAGAGGAAGACTTCTGATCTCAGTTGTACATAATATACCTTTAAAATCCCCTGAATCAGTGTATTTATTTGAATTTATAATTTTCTAGCTTTTTTACATGTCTGCCAAGCATGAAAAATGGCCCTTCTTGTTTTTTCATATTTCAGTTGACACGTTTGTTACCAACAGGGTGTGTCAAGCTATATCTGGAATTTATGGGCAGCACTCTTCCCTTGACTTTGAAACCATAAAGTCCATTAGTCCCTAAGCAACTTCCTTCTTTCCTGGGCAAAGTTCACAAGTATTAAGCCCAGCAACAAGCAGAACTAGCCGTCTTTCTATCCAGAGATTGGCGAATAATTTCAGGCGGTCCAGAAGGAGAAAAGTTAGTGAGGCTAAACTGAGGGCAGCCTGGTCTGTGATGGCCAGGGTAGATGCAGGAGAGTCTGAGATGGAGGAAGCTGCTTGTGATGGAATGTGGGGGTGACCTTGGAAGGGGGGGGAGAGATGCCACCCAGGGAATGATCAGATAAGAGAAAGGGGTCCACAACAGTGTAATGGCAAAAGAAAGAAACTTAGGAAAGACCTGCCGTAACTACTCAGGCGGTAAACAGGGAGGACGGGAGATTTGTACTTTC